AACATGCTATCACCACAATCATCTACAGATGATGCAAGACATCACACCCTATCAACACAATCATCTATAGATGATGCAAGACATCACACCCTATCAACACATTCATCTACAGATGATGCAAGACATCACACCCTATCAGCACAATCATCTACAGATGATGCAAGACCTGCACCATGTAGCACACGCTCACTCACCAGCGGCGGCATCTCCTCTGCGCTGATGGGCTGCACTTTGTTGGCACATGGCTTGCCCTTCTTGTCAGGTACCACCACGAACTTCACAGGGCCACCCACCACCAACGCCGACTCACTGCGGGGGAGACAAGATAACCGGTATTTGGTAATTGGGGGTTGATTGTGGGCCAGATATGCCAGTGGGTAAACAGATTCACTACCCCATCGACGTATGACAACGACTCTACGAGAGGAAGGACAAGCAAACAGGAACGAATGGAACAACGCATGGAATGCTATGTATGCACGTACAAACATTTCTACCAACCATAACTATATTCCACACTATATCTCCCACCCACAATGGCGACTAACACTGGAGAGAGGGGATGCGATCGCATACGCTGTTGAGCGGAGACGGGTTGTAGACATGTCTTAGAAAGACAGACATGCATGCATCGAAGCACAATACGAGCAGCATGTATTTGGTCCATAGATAGTGAGTCATTTGCGACTGCATAATAAGCATATATCAAATGGTCAATACACTGAAATGCATATTCAATATAAAATTAACAATACAACGCACACATAGAGATGTAAATCAATGCTGACAGCTATATAAAACACGTACATGGCTTGATGTATATACGCAAGAATGGCTTTACGTCACACGATAGTGGCTTGGCATTCCCCATTTGGAACTATAAACCGCACGTGAATATTGACTGTGTCCAACAGATTTGCCAAACCATCCATCACGAGTGATTTGATTATCCATCACAGGTGCATGGCACCGCACGAAAAGAATACTGAGCCAAAGACGGATAGCTGTAGAGATAAAAGCCACCCGGACTCACTCACTACACGACACAGCTACATCGGTCTATATGCAGAGACTTTCAGGGCTTCAGGCAACGGACCGTGTACTACAATGGATAGCATCGCATCAAACCCACAGTAGCGACAACAGCACACGAACACAGCCCCACCGCCGCACATACCCATCCTCATGTTCGATATCATTGAAGTGGAAGAACAGACACGCGAGTTTCGCACTCCTTTCTATAAAACCAAAGGACTTGTTGAGGCCAGACACAAAGCCGTACTCCACCACTTCAGGCGCTCGTGCCACCAGCGCCACCCCCACAGCGCGTGACATCTGCGTGCGACGGTGTGTACACTTCATGAACGTCACTTCGTCATTCTGTGTGTGTGCGTATGCGCGTGGGAATGAGAGTGAGCGAGCGAATACATACTGACTGGTGTGTTTGGAAGAACCATCGAGGCCAGCAGTACCTTGGTACGTGACCACCCGCCCACCTCGAACCTATACCATGCATCAGTTAAGTGCACATACGGCTTGCAGGCTATACCTCCAGTAATAGACGAGTCTACTATCAAGCGATGACACGCACAAGGCACAGTCGCATACATGTGTGGTTTAGGGGGATTCTCCACCACTCACCAAGCCAAACCACAGGCCCACACAACACCCGCACCAACCCTGAAATGTACATACCTATCTATCCAATACATCCGCCCAAAGTGTACGCCTACGTTACTGCCATCCACACGCACTCCCCACAGCGCAAACCCGCTCCAGTTGCTACACAGACACCCACTCTCTTAACACACACCCTTAAATACCTTTCCAAAGGACCCACTCTCTTAAGACACACCCCTAAATACCTTTCCAAAGGTCCCACTCTCTTAAGACACACCCCCAAATACCTTTCCGAAGGACCCACTCTCTTAAGATACACCCTTAAATACCTTTCCAAAGGACCCACTCTCTTAAAACACGCACTTAAATACCTTTCCAAAGGATCCACTCGTACAATAGACGCACTTAAATACCTTTCCGAAGGTTTCCTCGGCGTCCACCTGGTCGGCAACTCTGAAGGTGAGCATCTCCTTCCGGGTGCCCCGCCTGTTGCGGCGGCTGCGTTTGGCACTGGCCGTCTGTTCGGTACCTTCTGCGTGGTCGCCCATGTCCCCTACGCTCTCCTCCGCCACAGTCTCGGCCTCGTTGGTTCCATTCTCGGCACTGTAGTGGACGTGTTCAGCGCTGTTCTGTGGCGTGTCTATGTAGCTGTTGTCTTTGGCCGTCTCCCCCTCGGCCTCGTTCATTTCTGCCCTGGCTCCATCTTTGTCGGTAGCCCCGTTTTCCAGAGTGTCAGTGGTGTCATGCGCACCCGCTTCTCTCTTGACCACATGCATGATGATGCCCTTGCTCTCCCGGTCCCTGTCGCCGTCTCTATCGCGTTCACGGTACGGACGGTCTCTGTCGCTGTCCCTCTGTCCGGGTTTTTGGACCGCTCGGTCCACTTTGCCCGTGAAGATCTCTTCCGAGATCACCTCCATGTCCTCTGGCGCCACGTACACGACGTCCACAGCTCTGAGCTTGTCCTGTTTGTTGGTCTCGGAGTATTCCACATTGTCGCCTTCTTGCAGCTCTGTGGGATTCATACCTACAGCGAGAAATGAATGTACAGAACATCAACTTTTGTCGGAACGATTGGGACTCTTAACAACGACCTACTGACTATGGATAGCAACTATTAAAACCCTACACCCCTATAAGCAACACCTACTGACTCTGGATAGCAAATATTGAAACCCTAAACTCCTATAAGCAACCAGCCATGAATCCGCACTATGCTAAAATGGGTGATGAAGACATAAGCGCACAATGGGTGTGTAAGATCACGTGAATATGAAATCGTGAACGGCAGACGAGATAACTATGTAGATGCCTGTATAACGATGGTTGTGATGGAGCGTTCTTGAAATACTCAAGAGTTCTCAGAACACACACGGCAACTCATTCACATCCGCTTAATATGGCGAACAACTGTCCACCCAAACGATCGATTGCAGCGCAAATGGAAACTCATATCTGTTGACAGCGTCGTTGTTGATGAGCGGACATCACAAGTGATAGGTGTGTGTACTATGGCTTCAATAGGACTATCTTACCAACAAGACACACGAAAGTGTACTATGGCTTCAACAGGACTATCTTACCAACAAGACACACGAAAGTGTACTATGGCTTCAACAGGACTATCTACCCACAGGACACGCGAAAGTGTATTATGGCTTCAACATGACTATCTACCAACAGGACACGCGAAAGTGTACTATGTCTTAAACATGACTATCTACCCACAGGACACGCGAAAGTATACTATGGCTTCAACAGGGCTATCTACCAACAGGACACACGAAAGTGTACTATGGCTTCAACATGACTATCTACCAACAGGACACACGAAAGTGTACTATGGCTTCAACAGGACACGCGAAAGTGTGCTATGGCTTCAACATGACTATCTACCAACAGGACACACGAAAGTAACAAACAACAGCTTAACCGGAACACTTGGCCGTGAGGGCGAATTGTAGTGGTGACTGGTACGCTATATGGACGACAATCACTAGAAGAGATCTCGACCACAAGTACAGATCAGACGGTCAGAAAAGGTACAGAACAACCATACAGGTTACACAGTACCTCATGCACTGTACTGTATGCTTTCATATTCTGCTGAAGCTGACCACCTGCACACTGGAGTCCCGTAGCTTGATTGCTACAGCACATACCCGACACCACCAGAGCAGAGCAACCATACTGTCATACATACGATACACCCGAGAAACACACCACCAGGACGAGTCTACACGAAATACCATACTGTTATGATTGCTTGCCTGGGGTGCGCCAAACTTGACAACAATGACATACCCACAACTCCACTGTAGTGGAAGAAGATATCGCCAGTACCGAACTTCGGATCACGTTTGAGGAAACCGTAGCCGTCCTTCAGACTGGTGACCACTCCCAGCCCACGCTCAAGCGCCGGACTGTCGTCAATTGGCGAACACAACACCTGTGCATGGGTAGAGGCAACCGACACGTGTTAGTAGATATAAACGAGCCAATGAACGGGCACAGAGTTGCCAGGACACATAAGAGTGGGTCTACATAAGCTATTCAAGCTTAAACTACCCCTCACACAGGGAGGGTGCACAGCCAGCGGCATATTGTGTGAATATACACAGCGATGCGCACACACACGAACAGACGAACACACACGTACACACGCAAACAACTACACACGTGTACATACACAAGCACACATGCACTCATGACCCAGCAGAGATTCACCCACACGGAAGCTTGACGACGACCACATACGGCCAGGCCAGCAAGCGAAAACGAGGCCAAAATATGAAGCCCGACCGAGAATATACTGACGGCAATTGGTCACCAATATGTCTATCGACAGTACTACCGCGCATGTTTTTACATATGTACCATCTATAACACCTTGCAGACATGAACACGCCACAACCTGATCAATGCGCTAGTATAGTACAGTATACTTGTGTGCCTGTCACCTACAATGTTGTGCGCCAGCCTGCGACCCCCATCCTCTGGGCCTAGACACATCGTGACCTTGTCACCAATAGCGTACGTTGGCGGTTGACTACCAAAATGCGACTGACCACCCAGCTGCCGTCCACTGCTGAGCTCGGACGGAAGATACGCCACACGGTAGCTGTGCCCATCCATCTCATACACTATCCACCCCGGTGACTCGTACTCTGTCAGGTGAATATGAGAGCCTGGTCAGCTTGCTATGGCAGGCTTATGGAGAACACACTGTGCTTAGGGATTCGCATCAGATTGTTCTTGTAGACTCAATCGGTCGTCAGTTTGCATACGTTATAGAAGTATATGCACATGCAGAGTTTGTAAACAAGTATATGAACATGCAGAGTTTGTATATGTAGATTGTATAGAAGTATA